TAAAAATAGAAAAATCAATACTATAAACTAGATTTAATAGTAACTAATTAAATTTTTATGTAATACTATTAAATTTATAAAATATTAAAATAACAATTTTATTTTATAAATAGTTAAACTTGTATTACTAACTAATACAAATTTTATTAAAATATATTTATTATTTTGTTATGTACTTTTCATTTTTACTAGTTTGTAATTTTGATCATAACTAATATTTATATATAATAAATATATAATATTAGTAAACCAAAAATATATGTAAATAAATTTTATAAACATAAGACTACAAAAATTTAGCAAACATAATAAATAAGTATGATAAAATAATTATATATCAGTTACAAATAATTGAAACATAACAATTTATTATAACTAAAAAATAAATAATATATAATATTATTTTTTGGTGTAAAATTTGGTGTTGTTGTTGGAAATAACAAAAGAAATTTGACATTAAAACACTAAATTTAGTATAATTTTGACATAAAATTTGATTTTATTGTTGGAGATGCCCTAAGATGGCAAGCATATATATCCCCATATATATCCCCATGTGAGAATTAGAACAATAATTAGGCTCAAACCTAATTATTTGTGAATTTATCCTCGAAATTGAGGCCTTGTGTTCACATATCCTTTGTTCCTTTTGAGAAAGAGCCTTCAAAATGTACGTTCACATTTCTTCGCGTCCTTAATCATTTTCTTAATCGAAACCAACTTCTTCATCGTGTCTGTTTGCGAACCTTTTTATTTGATCGTAATCAAATCATAGTCTTAGTTTTTGCCTTCAGTTATAGCTATTAGTCTATGCAATCTATACTTTAAAAACGAATTCCATGTCAACTCGACAACGAAGAACTAAAATCCAGTTCCTTATGTTTATCATATTACTTGGTGTACGTGACTTAATTATGACGATTAAAATATAAAATATCAACCAACGTTGAGTTTGTCTTGTGGATATAACTACCACTATATGGTGGGTTCACCCGTTCAGAAATTATTTAACAATCCGTGCCTTGCGCGGGATAAAACTATTATTTGTATTATGTTTTGAAAAATGAAACAATAGTTCGGTTTCATTCGGATTAGAGGTGTTCAATCTGGATATCGGGTTTCGGTTCAGCTCAATTTTTTGGTATTTCGATTATTAAAATATAAATACTATTCTAAATCTATATGTACTTCAGTTTGATTTGGTTTATATACCATCGATTTTCAGTTTATTCAATTTTATACCAAAACATGATTATTTAGTTTGAGATCATATTATATAATATACAAATATATAATATGATCATATTTAGAGTCATATTGTCACAGAGTCATTTATTAAAAAAAATATTATATATATAAATAAGAGAATAAAAACAAAAAGGCTTCTATCATCTAATAAAATGATCTAATCTAGAATTAATATCAAAAAACTAAATTTTGAAAATAAAAATAAAAAACAAAACAGAAGCATGAAAGAAAAGTTTTTTTATTCTTCCATATTTAGTGTTTATCAAACCAATATGTCTTCGATTGAACACAACTCTGTTTGTTTAAAGATAAAAAAAAAAGTTGTACAGAATTTCAATCCATCAAATTTATAATCTTTACTTCAATTTAGTTACTATTAAAAAAGAAAAAGATCAAAATAAGAAGTCTAAGTTGTAATAAACTGTTAGCTATTTAAAAATTATAATTATAGTTCAACTCATGTAACAAATAGATATTCATGCGTCGTTATAAATATATACATTTTTACATGTTTCAGTTTAATCGGTTATAAATCAAACCATATCCAAATCCTATGGTTTTTATAAAATCACATCCATTCGGTTTGTATGGTATATATAAAAAATAACCATATTATCGATTTTAATATATTTTAAAAATATAAAATTAAAAAAAGAACTAAGATATTTAAATCATTGATAACAAAAATTCTCAATGTGAAAAATTTTATAATTTTATAATTTATAAATGTTCTTGAAAATTTATTGAGGATTTTGAAATTAAAATATTTATGTAATCTTATATGATATATAGTTTAATCTGTATATATATTTGTTTTATTATTGAGTGATACTTTTTACTTATACGGTTTTAAAATCATGTATATCTTTTTATAATAAAAATGTTAAACTATTGATCATTAATTTTTAACATAATAATTTTAATAGTTTAGTTATTTATTCTCGTTTTTTAAAATTCAAAATATAACCTATACGAAAAAATCTAAAGTTTAATTTTATAGCTAATTTGATTGTTTAATTTATTTTAATAATATAAAATTAAAGANAAACTATTGATCATTAATTTTTAACATAATAATTTTAATAGTTTAGTTATTTATTCTCGTTTTTTAAAATTCAAAATATAACCTATACGAAAAAATCTAAAGTTTAATTTTATAGCTAATTTGATTGTTTAATTTATTTTAATAATATAAAATTAAAGAAAAATGATGGAGGATATATAAACTGTTATCAAATATTTATCATTAGAATCATTAAGTGTCATATATATATATTAGTAATTTATGGTAATTCCGTAGGTTTTATTTATGGAAAGAAAATAAAATAGTAATATATCTAGGGGAACAATCATAAATGTTTCTATCATAAATATCATATCATATCATCATATCATATAATTTGACCAACGAATGTATCTAGCGAAATATAAAAATCGAATGTGGACCTACTTATTTTTCAATTGAATGTAATTGATTACCTAATTGAGTGACACCTAAGCATGGAGTGTTTTTTTTACAAAATTGAGGTTACAATTTTTTAAATGTTTCTCCTTTAATATATAAGGGATTCTTGAATTTCCGGTTAAAAAAAGTGAAACAATCTTTTTATTACCAAAGAAATATAGAGAGAGAGAGTTTCCTCCAAACTTCTTGACTAGTAAATTATAATATACATCGAAATAATCGAATGTTCAACCATTCACAACGTTTATACTTTTCAGAAATAACTATACTCTGCATATGCCATGAACTTGTTAGAGCACCCCATTGAAAGTTCAATGGGGGGGTTTTTACACAAAAAAAGAAAAAAAAAATATATATATATATATATATATAATAAAAGTTATGAATCTTGCTCGCTGGGGATCACTGGGATGAACCCGAATCAACACTGTTTCGCGGAGTCCATGCCACGTGGCGACCCGCGATTGGTCTATTATTATTATTTTTTTTTAAAACAAAGGAAAAAAGAAAGAAAAATTTCTTATGAACCTCCCCCATCGGTTCTGGGGGTGCTCTTAGAAGTATCAAACAAGATACTCCTAGTTACTCAACAAGTTTTATGAACGCTATTTCTTTTCATTTAAACTTTCTTATTTTGATGGTGGTGTTGATCAATATGGTTTACTAGGTAGATTGTAGCCTATCTAAATCAAAAGCGATAGAAAAGGAATCACTGATAGTCAAATCTTAAGAATAAACAAAACAATAACAATAAAAGAATAAAAATAATATAAAAAGTCAAAAGGATGGGTGGTGTAGGATTAATGGGTGGACAGTGAGATGATGGTTGCAACAATGACACTTGGCTGACTATAAATGGGACACTTGTTGTGGTTGTAACTCAGAGACATTATCAATTCATTTTTCCTTGTCATCAACCGAAAGCCCCCAACACCTTCTTTTGTTTAGATAATCTTCTGGTTTTCTTCTCACTCAATGATTCATATTATAAACATTAAAATTCATTGATGATGATGTCTTTACATGGTTTACTAAAAAGTAAGATATAGTGTCATACTGTTGTTAAGTTAATATTATAGGCAGTTGATTTTAATTTACGAACTCATGAAACTGAACATAATATCTACACATTGACTAAACAAACCAAAATCGTTGACAAAAGAAAAATAAACATAATCATTCTAATGCCGATGCAACCTAATTTAATGAGAATCTATCGAGTAAACTGATTAAAACACAGTATAAGAATTTTAAAAGTCAAATTTATAGGAAACTCATGTGATGTTCAACATGTAATTCTGCAAAAAGGAAGAAAAAAAAGTCAGACATGTGATGTTCAACATGTAATTCTGCAAAAAGTTAACAAAAAATTTGTTAACAAGAGAGTAAAAAAAGGGAAACACGAAGTAGACAAGGTATTAGAAAAAGAAAGAGCCAAGAGAAAGGTCTAATGTCTTGAAATCATAAGACTCACCCCCATGTGGGCTACTACCAAAAACCTAAAACACCACCAGCAACACCAACTAAGCAAAGAGTGTAATAACACATAAGCAGACATATATTCCTCACCATCCAATATGAGCCACCAATTTGATTTTTTCTTTCCTTTGGATCATCTAAGGTGGAGAACTTGATTTCCCATGTTCTATGGCCACAATGAACAACCAATGATTTTGACATCTTTGTCTTTCTCTCTCTCTCTCTCTCTCTCTCTTTCGGTTTCCAAGTTACATGTGATTAGTTTGAATCTTTGAGCTTCACTAGACAAGAGCCTGATTAATCTCATTGTCACAAGTCGGCCCTACCCACAAGAAGTGAATGTTGTGTTTCTTCCAACTTAGAAAATAAACTATAAAAAGCTGCAAGCGCCTAAAATTTACGCATCCCCACATGTTCTATTGAACGAAAATGACAATAAACGATCAAGAAGATGACTTAGATATAGAATATACCAATTTCTCAAGGCATGAAAGATACATAGGGCATTGTCTCTATAATCCTAATTTGGACAACACCATGTACCCAAACAAACCTATGACTATGAGATTGATGATGCCTATGGCTGAGCGAAACTTGTAATTAACAGAAAGTTTCCAGCCAATGTGAGGGAGACGCAAACAAGATGAGCTAAAGCATATGCATTTGTACTTTGTTTCATACGACCATACTGACCATAAAATGGTCTTTTCTTTACATGTGCTAACCGTTAGAAAAGGTGACGAAGTTTATGAAACAAAACTTCCTAGCAAACTTCTCTCTGTTGTTAACATTCATAGCCAGAGGAAGACTAAAACTGTTCAGGTTTCGCATCTACCATGAGCAACTGTCTTTTAAGCTCGGCGATATCAGCTTGTACCTATAACATAGTAAATACAATAAACAATGTAACCATATCCTAGAAATAAAGACAAAGCGAGACAGTGGGAGACAACTAGAAACGATGTATAACAACGAAAGGTAAGTAACCTTGTGACGAGTAGCGGTAAGTTTGAAAAGCTCATCTGCGTCTGAGAACTTAAGAAACCAAGGGCTAAGAGGATGATCTTTGGTGTGTCCTTTCTTAATCTTATTATAGTCAGCGACACCTGGAACATTCAATTTACAGAGAAGAATTAATGATCACACGCATCAGAAATAACTGAGCGAGTGATTCACGAACCTGGAGGAGGCAGGTTGAATCCGAGTGGGAGCTTAGAGACATGAACAGCAGGGTGATTATAGACACGGGAGAGGAAAGAGTGAAGAGGGTCAGGGAAGAGAATCTCATTGTAAGACTCAGTGACAACAGGAACGTTAGGAGACTGAGGACCAGTGTAGATGTCCGGGTTGAGCTTCAACAAGTGAGACCTGGAAGAAGTTTTAACAGAAAAATGTATAAAAAAAAAAAGAAAGAAAGTGAAACAGAAACTAAAAACTAACAGTTGGAGCTTCCTATCACAAGCATCAGCGTGGAAGAAGATGGTGATATCGATCTTGAACTCTCCCCAGCCACACTCAGACAAAGTAAAAGGAGGTGAGTCAACAACTCTAGTAGGGGTCTTGAAACTTGGATGCAACTTGAAGATGACCTTTTTAACAACCACACCAAGATCCTCATTTGTAGCTCCACGTACATAGACAGTCCAGTTATGTGTTAGGTATCTACACATTCATTCATTCAATCAAAGGTTGAAACTTTTTTTTATTACCGGAAGAAAAGACTCACTCTTTAGCTTTCTTTCCGCGGAAAAAAGCGATCGAACCACACACAATAGGAACTGACACTTCCACACCATTCACCCTTCTTCTCCAATTCTACAAACAAAACAAAAAAATAAAAAATCGAAACTTTGCGTTGTTAAAACGTCGTCGTCGTACTCTGACAACCTAAGTTCCTTTTATCGGAGAAAGAATCGAGGGTGGCATCATGTTTAGGGTTTATCCACAGCAGAGTGTAGGTATACCTTATCATCATCATCAATGCCAATCTGTAGCTTCGGCGTAGTAGAATCCATGATTAACGATACGAATAAGAACGCCACTCAGATATAATTTTTGTCCTTCAAATCTTTTATCAGATATTTTCTCTTGCACACAAGTCCTCCGTCGTAGGAGCAGAGGCAGGAGGTTACACGTGGATTATAAACTGTTGCTTTAACTTTTTTGTCTGGGTTTTGTCACGATGACAAAAATATATCCAACTTCTTGCCGTTTGATACAAAGGCTTAAGGCGTACATGCCGTCTCTTTAGACGAGAACACTTAAAAGATGAAGTGATAGGAAAGTAAATCGATTTTCTTGCCGTTTGATATCCAGACGTAAAAACTATCTCCCATTTTTGGAGGATGAACTACCTGCCGTTTTTGGAAGAAAACCCATGAAATATGGAACTGGTAGAAAACTAAATCGAACTTCTTGCCATTGGATACCCAGTCGTAAGTAAGAACTACCCACCGTTTTCTGTAAAAAAAACATAGAAGACGAGACGAACTAGTAAGGCTCTATAAGCCATGAAAAAAGTTACAAGAATGTTTTTCTTTTTCCTTTTATCTGAACAAAAGAACAACAGAGAGTAAGAAGCTTTGCAAAAATCTGGGAAGATTTTATCTTCTGCGAAAGAATTGTCTCGAGAATATGACAACAATAAATGAATGAGGCGAGGCGAGGCTAAAAGCAAATGCTCAGATGTTTGATGCACTTAAAGCCATAACTTTGCATTGTTCATTCAAAGCTAGAAGCTGAGCTTCTTTCTTGTCAAGTAGTACCGTCAACTTCACATTCTCTTCCATCAGTTTCTGAACTTCAACCTCCTTCTGCGCCTTCTCTCCCTCTAGCTGTGTCGTCTTACTCACCAACCTGTTTCACCACACAAATGTTTTCTGCCAAATCGTTGGGATGATAAGGTTGTAATGTTAATGAATGTTGATAAGGACAGACCGTTCAAATAGCTCTTGGATGGTTTTGAATTGTCTCTCGGAAGAAACAAGTGTTTCTCTGACATTGGTAAAAGTGCTGACATAGCTTTTAAGCGACTCGAACTCTCTCTTCACACGACACAGCTCCTCTTCATTCTCCACAGCTTTCTCCCTCTGTCTCATCGTCTCTTCAACTAGTTCCTCAATCCGTTCCCGCATTTCGCTCAGAACACTATTAGTCCCGTGAGCAAATCTCTCCATCTCTTGTAACTTTACAGCCAGATTCTCGATTTGGACTGTCTTCCTATTAAGTTCTTCCTCTCCCAAAAGTACCATCTCCTTTTGAACAGCCGTCTCAGATTCTGCTGCTGTAACTCTCTTAACAAGAGACTCAAGCACATTAGTAACCATTTCTATGCACTGGAGCATCTCACTAGTGTAAACTCCATCCTCTATACCCAAGGAACCACCACACGAAGATGAACCACCTTCTTTGTCAAGAAAGTCTAATCTTTCCAGTCCCATTTGTTCCACACTGCACGTGAGATGAGCTATGTCAGGAATGGCCAAGACTGTAGCTTTTGATCTCAAGTACCGCAACATTATTGCAGTCGTTCTCACCCTACCAGAAAGAACACCTAACTCCTTCCTGGCATCTTCCTCGGAACCGAACTCAAGGTAAGCCTTGACATCCAAAAGCTCAGCTTCTAAACTATCTACCTGAACTTGACGAGATTCCAATTCACTCTTACATATCTCAGAGTCTTCCCAGGTTAAAGACTCTTGTGCAGATGCATTAGTATCCTCTTTACAAGCCATCCCCACTCTCTTTAAACTACAACAAGTAAGAAAACAAAGACAGCTTAGAACCAAAAACCAAAGGACAGATCTAGCTTCTATCTCTCCTGTAGAACATGTGTTAACTCTGTCCTAGACCAGTGGGTACATTTCATTTCAGACAAAGATGATTGAACAAAATAGCTTAGAACCAAAGACAGCATCTAAAGCCCTATTCTCAGGACAGTTAGAGCTTTTAGAGCATGTTTTAACTCTTTGCCTGAACCGATCATTAGCCCTTTTCAAGCTTCATTTGAGTATGAAACAAAGAATATGAGGGCAAAATGGGTACATTTCATTTCAGATAAGGATGATTGAACTAAAGGCAATAAACAAGACAAGGTAAGGTAAGGTAACAAAAGTGATTCTGATTGGCTAGTCAAACACAAGGCAGTAAAAAGACATCATCTTGAACTATTGAAACCGTATAAGCAATGATAAAACAGACTCAATCCTACAGAAGTCGGAATCGATCTTAAAATATTATACAAAACAAAAAAAAGAGAAGAGGATTCTCACGATTCGAGATCATAAGCTTGTTGATAGATTGATTGCAGGAAGGAAGGAATTAGAGGCAAGAAGAAGGATTGATCTTTGCGTCGAGGGTTTTCCGAAGAGAGCGGGTGGGTGAGAGATGGAAAGTAGAGAGAGACGAATACAAATCTTACAGGAAAATGGGAACAAGGGAAAGGACCCAATGCTGCTTTGCTTTTCTTTCTTCCTCCTCCTATACTTTAATTTCTCCTTTTATTTTCTTTTGAATTTTTTTAGTACATTGTAATCATATGCAAAATTTCACTGATTGTTTCTACTTTCTGAAAAAAAATGATTCAAAGATTTAAAATTACTTAAATATATTTATATTTAAAAATAATGTGACACTTTTATTTAGATATTTTACTTTATATACTACAAATTAATCCGCGCTACCCCAAAACATCTTTAATTTTCAAATTAATCTGCGCTACGTCCAATTACTTAATATATTTTTATTTAACAAGATGTTTAATTATTCATTATGACTTCATTTCTTAAAAAAATAAGAAATTTTTTTTGGCAATTCATTTCGCTTTGTTTGAAGACATCTACTTTTATGCTAGGTTACATGGAAACTCCGGTCAAGGTCCGTTTCTTGTTTCGCAAACATTTTCAGAATCAGAATATCTTGGAAACTTAGAAAAACTCTTCGGAAACGCGTTTCTTGAAACTTTCATTTTGGAAACATGATGGAAACTTACGTTTCTCATTTGGAAACTCGCGATTTTGTTTGGAAACACGAAAGAATAACTATTTGCCATTTGGTGTTAGTGATTACATTTTTTAACTTATATTTTAATATTATTTACAATATTTGTTATTAATTTGGTATAATGATAATCTAGAATGAAGTCGGCTCCATATTTTATCAAATGATAACAAGTGTTAGTTTTCTAAATTTTGATTATTTTTTTTTTAAATTGTACCCAAAATAACATTTATATTACTTGATTTTTTCTCTTAGTTAAATCAAACAAAAAAAAATAAGCTTACATGTTAATTAATATATATATTATAAACGTTTAAAACGTTTCCATTTCTATTTTTCAAAATTGTGTTTCCATGTTTCACAACGTTTCGTTTCTATGTATTCGTTTCCGATTCCATGCAACCTAGCTTCTATGTTTATCTTTGTTTAACAATATGTTAAATAGGTTGATAAGATATATAACTATAATAATAACTAGTTTGCATGGAAACTCCGGTCAAGGTCTGTTTCCTGTTTCAGAAACATTTTCAGAATCATAATATCTTGGAAACTTAGAAAAACTCTTCGGAAACGCGTTTCTTGAAAATTGCATTTTGGAAACACGATGGAAACATACGTTTCTGATTTGGAAACTCGCGATTCTGTTTGCAAACACGAAAGAATAACTATTTGCCATTTGATGTTAGTGATTACATGTTTTTAAACTTATATTTTAATATTATTTTTCAATATCTGTTATTATTTTGGTATAATGATGATTTGGAATGAAGTTGGATCCATATTTTATCGAATGATAACAAAAGTGTTAGTTTTCTAGATTTTGATTAAATGTTTTTAAAAATGTACCCAAAAATAACATTTATATTACTTGATTTTTTCTTAGTTAAATCAAACAAAAAATAAGCTTACATGTCAATTAATATACATTATAAATGTTTCTAAAACGTTTCCATTCCTAATTTTTTGAAAATTACGTTTCCACGTTTCATAACGTTTCGTTTCCATGTATTCGTTTCTGATTCCATGAAACCTAGAATAATAATGATAAGTCAATGCAATTTATGATCATATAATTTGGAAGACAATGAAACTGATATGTTCTTAGAAAGGGAGGCATACTAGTATAATATATAAGATCATCAGCACTAGAAATATCTTCCATGATCTCTCAACGTAAAAATAAAAAAAGGATGAGAGATAAAGAGAAAATATAAGAGACGATTGTTTAAGAGGAGATGGCTCTTGACAATTCATGACATTTGTCATGTTGTAAGTGGTTACAATCTTTTTTATGTTTAAATTTTATTTGTATTATTCATTGATATTAATAAAACACGTAAAAGGTATTTTTGTGAGATACGTTTCCATTTCTAATGCTCTAAGAACATAAACATTGATATAATCTCTCAATAAAGTATAATATATTATATAATATTAATATAATTTAAATGTTTTACTTGAAGTTTAATATAAAAAAAAATTTAAAAGGATAACATAGTAATTTTTTGTTGAGTTTTAGAAAATTTTTCTAGTTATTTGGTGGAGTGTTTAGTTTCGGTGTATTCCATTGTTTTTGTTTCTGGGTTCAACCTCAATGGTTTTGGTTAACAGTTCATTTCTCATCATAGCTGTTTATGTGTTTGTTAGTTTTCCAATTGTTTGGCCTTTCTCTCTTTTGTGGATTATTGGTTTTGGGGTCTTTTCTTTGTTTGACAATTGATGGTTGGAGTAGTTTGGTCTTGTATGATGGTGATGGTTTTGTTGTATGGCTTTTTCAATCCGGGCATAAAAGTCAATCCCTCATGTTTGTAGAGTTTCTTTCGTACATGTTATCAATGATGAAGCTTTAACCATTTTGATGACAAATCTTTATATTAAAAGCTGTTTCGTAATAGCAAGGATAAAATTAATTTGAGATCATTCTTGTTTATATTAGTAAAACTAAAATAATACAACCAATCTTATTTTTAACAGATTTATTACATTTTTTATTTCCTTATTTTAAGCTACTTTATTAATTATTTATTTCTAAATAATTTGATAGCATTCACTATAAATATACAAAACATAAATTACTTATTTTAAGTGTTTTATTATATCTTTTACATTTTTCATTTTTAAAAATAATTACTTAATTAAATTTACTATAATAATTTGGTATAATTTATTTTATGTGTTAATCATAATCATTTCATATGTTTTAATGTAATTGTGAAGTAAGAAGCTAAAGACTACATTTTGGTCTTGTCTTTCTCTTAAGAAATCCAGATCGCAAGAGCTTGGTTTCAGCATATTGAGCTCTGACCAGAGGCTTCTAAACTTTCCAAGATGTGGGTTGAACTATCCTTCATCTTGTTTCAGGTTGTTGATAGCTTGTTTCACCTCAAACACCCTATTTAGATTAGATAAGTTGTCATACACCTGCTGAAGTGTATCCCATAATTATTTAGAAGTTTCACAGTAAGAGTAAGCTTACAATATTGAAGTTTCCAAGCTGTTCTGAATGATAGATAAAACCATGAGATCATCATGGCCCTTTTTTGTATCAGCAACTGCTTCTTCTTCTCCATCCTCTCCTAGGATGTTTTTCTTCGGGATTTTGCCTCCAGCAACATATTCCCAAAGACCTCTACCTCCAAGAGCAGTCTTGACAAGTCTGACCACAGAAAATAGTTAGATACCTTGAGAGTAGCCGAAATCACCATCATTTCTGACATTTTCCGCCAAATATTCAAGAACAGCTCAAGAATTGTGGGTACAGGAAAAATTCAAAATATACCCGAGTAGATTTGCGGAATATGTAGAATAGAGTATAGAGAATATGTCTCAAGAGCATAAATGCTAAGAACATGAAGAACATGAGATATAGAGAGAGAGATTTTAAAATTTAGAGAGAGATAAAGAGAAAATATGTTTCCTTAATTCATTTTGGTTTCTGTTTATAATGTATTAATAGATAGACAAGTTGACTACAGAAAATGAATAAATAAAGCTGGTCTAATGGAGACAAAAGACTCTTGTACCTGAATGAAAGTGACAGCTCCTTCACCTCTCTTTTCCTTGACCCAACATATGACTGATCTTTGTTTTCTTATTCCAGCACCTCTTTTGACCAATTTAAATCATTTTAGAGCCTCTTGCATACTCAAACGCGAAACCCATTCCCCCTTGTCTGCCTTGCAAGATAGGTTAGGTTAAGAGATGAGTTATTATATGGACATATCACTTCTTCATTCTTCTTGCATCCGGATGGTCACCTTGTCTCTCTTACACTAGAATGCTTTATTTCTCTTACATGTCAACAAATAGCTCATCTGATTTCCACTATTTCTTTTCCTAACCTCAGAGATATCACAGTCACGATGAAGAAAAGTCTCAACAAAATAGAAATGACGTTGAGAAAAAAAAAATTTCATTAGTTTTTCAACATTTTCGGTTAATGGCATGTCGATTTTTTTATGTTTTTGAAAATCTGATGTGTAATCGTGTGCTGGATAGAGGGTTGTGTTATTTTTTTTTCCTCAAACGGCTATTCTATTACTTAAATTTGAGGTGACCTGAAAAACCAGACTGAAATAGAACAACCAATGTAATACAAACTCTTGTAAAATGACTTTGTTATCTTAGCTAACGAATCAGACGATACATTTCTAGCATGAAGAATATAAGAAATTGAAAACTCCATGAATCTATCTTTTAGCCGTGAAAACTCATGCAACTCTGTGGAAAATTTTGGCCATGCTCCTGGATCTTGGATCATCGTGACTAGGTCCTTGTAGTCGGTTTTGAACACCTGACATGTCGACGTCTGCATCATGCACTCCATTGTCAACAGTAGGACCTTCCAATTCCGAGTGTAGCGATGAGATTCTTCTGCTCTGGTTTTTTGCACTTAGAAGTTGAATTTCTCCATTCGAATGTTTTCATTTCCAACCACAATCACTGAAGAGTACGTCTTGAATAGGGTTGTGTTATTATTGTGTTAATTCGGGTGTTTGAATACATTTGGCGCCGTTCTACATAATCCACTCATGTAATTTAATTTTTATGGCTTGGATCAGATATGAATTAAGGTTTTTCTAGTTCAAGTTTGGTGGTAATCCCGGGTTTCAATCACATTATTTTGCCTATGCCTCCTATTTCATTCTTCTGGCGAGATAAGGCTAGTGTGAATAATGGGCGGCCTAATGTGTATAATGGACTTAGTTATAGAATAAAAGGTAGGCCCATTTATATTCCCACTTGCTTCCTCTGAAGGAAAAGGTGGAGGCCGGAGATTGGTGGCCGGAGAGGAGAAGAATTGAAGGACGAGAAATGGGAGACGGAAGGGAAGGAGATTGGGAGTGTTTAGGTTGCAGTAACAGGAACTACGCGTTTCGATCATTCTGCAACAGATGCAAGCAGCCTCGTCTTTTCATGGATAACAATACCTCTCACAACTCCAAGTGGCTTCCTCGTATCGGTGATTGGATCTGCACTGGTTCGTTCCTCAATACTTAGATTGATGATTGATCAGATTAGATTTTTGGATTAGGCCTTAGGTTGAGTTGTTTTTGTGTGTATATGGGAAACTTGCTGGTGTGGTGTGGCAAAATAGGTTGCACTAACAACAATTATGCATCACGAGAAAAGTGCAAAAAATGCGGACAACCAAAGGAAGTAGCAGCTTTGTCTTCATCACTCGCTTCCCTTCAGACCCATCTCAGTTACTTCACCAGTCGACCTGATCCACTCGATCAACTTGGTTCTCTACTCCCTTTCTCTAACCCTGCTTCGGCTCTTAAAGAATGGAGGAGCGGTGATTGGATCTGCAGATGTGGGTTTCACAACTATTCCTCTCGTATACAGGTGAGGAGAAGTGGTTTTTAAGAGTTTAGATCTTTTGCCTCTATTTTGTTTACTCATTTCTCTTTTCGTTTTGTCTATGCAGTGCAAAAAGTGCAATGAAACAGCTCCACTAGGTATGGCTGTTTTGTACACATGCCAATGTTATTCCTTCAAAACAAGTTATCTTTTTCCTTCTGGGTTGCAGCTCTTGGAACCAAGAGATTAGCATCAGAAGTTTTGGCTCATGAGTGGGATACCAAACGATTGAATCAAGGATATGTAAGCCTGCATAAAAATTGATTTTGCACATTCTAGTCCCATAGTCTTAGGTATGTTTCTTCTGTGCAGACAAACATGCAACCACAGTCATCGTTATATGCATCTTTTCCTGGTATAAGCTCAGGCAGTATCTCAAACTGGCAACTCCCTCTCCCGTTTCTACAGCAACAGTTGTTAACACCTGCTTTACTTGGAAAGGGGTAAGTAAGGTTCTGATCTCTGGTCTCCGCTGCTGTGTTTTCTTCGTTCCCTAAACGCTAGAACTGTTCCTGACAGAGCAAAACAATGGCGTGATGGAGACTGGATGTGCACAAATTGCAAGAATCACAATTATGCATCCCGATCAGAGTGCAATAGGTGAGTTTCAACTCTCTTCTAGTTTACACTTGTTTCATTGCATTGAGTTAAAAGGTTAACGAAAGTCAAAAGAAGATTTATTTCGGTGTTCATTTCAGATGCAAGACTAAGCGAGAAATCATTGAACAGACCATAACTCCAGTACAGACTTAAAGAATCAAGAAGAGTGTTCTTGACTGTCATACAAAACACTGTATCTCAATCTTGTTTGATTGACATGAATATAAAGAAGCCTTCAAAATGTTATTGAAACAGAGAAAAGCTAAAAGCTTGGTTAGCCCTTCAAGATGTTTTTAGGATCAAGAGGAGGTGTATCAAGCTGATAAAGATTCAAAGCCGGTCCAACAAACCGGAAAAGAATCCAACCTCCAATCACAATGTAGATTGAAGCGTAAGCCAATTTGTTGAGCCAAAACAACAGACCTTTCTCTCCCACATAAAGCTCCAACGCTTTCTCATTCAACGTCATCTCTTCCCATGGCTTCTGAACCTTTTTCTCTGCTTTCTTCCCGCTTTGCCCTCCTTCACCTGAACTTTCTTCCCTCATTCTCCTTCTTGACCCTCGTTTGAACCTTATCTCCACTCCTCCATCCAACGGCTGAGAGACCTTCTCTTCACCGCCACTGTTAGAACAACAGTTTATCGAAAGAGATGGTCTTTCTTGACGACGCAACACGAACTGGGTTTGTGTTATTGTTTGTTGCTTCAGATTGATGATAGTTGGTTTAGCCAAACCGGGAGCTGAGAAGTGAAGAGTTTTCATTCTTGTTTGGGGTATAGTTCAAACTTGAAAGAAAGAATCTGAAGCCAGCCATGTATGTAGGTAGTAACTAAGAAGATAAAGCTCTATCATCGTCGACCATTCCTTTGACCCACTTACTTCTCGACACGTAGCAACCCAAAAGTAATGGGCTTTATTTGAAATTAAATAGCCCATAGATCTGATGTCAAAAAGCTTTACTGCGGCGGCTATTAAAAACTACCGAAACTGAATTATTACAAAAGCTATCACACTGACAAAAGAAAGAAGTTGAGAATTCAATTGCGAGATTCGTAAAATCGAGCGAAAACCATATGGAACACGACCCTTTCCTCCGTATGTTCCAGCCTTCGGAGCTCAAGATCGCATCGGAGTTCTTGACGAATTGCCTTCCTTTCTTGTCTAGAGATCTCTGCAAAGACTGCGTCAACGTTCTCTCCGATCGAATCCACTCTCTGGACCCTGGTAAAGCTCGAAAGTCTCCAATTGAAAATTAGGGTTTTGATAATTGGAACAAACAGGAGACTAGAGAGTAGCCTAGATCTGTTGTTAGGAATCAATTTACTGCTTCTTTGCTTAAGAGAAATTGTGTGTCCTTTGTGTAGAACATTGTAGTAAAGTTGAGGGAGAAGGTAATAGCAAAGCTGGTTTGGAATCAGAAGGAACCTGTGAGAAAGAGATTGAAATTTCATTTGGAACCTTGTCTGAAGTTCTTGGTAGTGTACTGCCATCTCGACAAGCTGCTGATACAGCAAGTCCTCGAATGTCTTGGGCTGATATGAGTCAGGAAGATGAGTTTGACGAGGAGGAGGAGGACGAGGATGAGAGTAGGAAAGCTATTGATGCGAGTCCGTTGAAGACTCCACAGAAGCCTAAGTTATCAAGAGAGCAGAGAGAGGATCTCAGGCTCAAGAATGTGAAGAGAAAGAAAGATTTCATTTGCTTGGAGAGAGTTAAGGGGAAGCTTGTTAACGTTGTTGATGGGCTTGAGTTGCACACTGGTGTTTTCAGCGCAGTCGAGCAGAAAAGGATTGTTGATATAGTGTATGAACTTCAAGAGAAAGGACGTAACGGAGAACTTAGAGGTAGCTTCTTCTTTCAAATCTCAATACTTCTCTTATGGACTTTTAGTCTGAATATTTCTCTGTCTCTCTTTGCAGAGCGTACGTTTACTGCTCCACAGAAGTGGATGAGAGGCAAGGGACGTGTGACTATTCAATTCGGCTGTTGTTACAACTACGCTACAGTAAGCAACTTATTCTCTGCTAATTTTTCATTCTATGAAAGCGGAGTAAATAGTTTGTTGCTTTCTTTGTCTTGTTGATAGGATAGAGCTGGAAACCCACCAGGTATCCTTCAACGTGAAGAAGTGGATCCATTACCTTCTCTTTTCAAAGTGATCATTAAAAGGTTGATTAGATGGCATGTTCTGCCACCAACTTGTGTTCCCGATAGCTGCATTGTCAACATCTACGATGAAGGTGACTGTATACCTCCTCACATCGACAACCATGACTTTCTCCGGCCCTTCTGTACCATCTCCTTCCTTAGTGAATGCGACATCCTCTTTGGCTCAAACCTTAAAATAGAAGGTCCTGGTGAATTCTCCGGTTCATTCTCAATACCGCTTCCTGTAGGGTAAGTAAGCTCCTACCAACATCAAAACCTTTCACCACTCTTCTTGTTAGATAATTAGCTTTTGTGACATTTTTTTTTCAGATCAGTTCTGGTGTTAAATGGAAATGGAGCTGATGTAGCTAAACACTGTGTACCTGCAGTTCCCACAAAAAGGTAATAGTCCCTCCATTTCATTACATGGTGTTTTAGAAGATTTTTGATGTTTTAAAATGTTTGGAGTTTTCTGTGTTAACTTTATTGAAATTGTTCAACCAATTATGTTTTACTGTATTTTTTTATAATTCGTTGGATCATTTTTAATGTATATATTTTGGTAAAAGTAGGTTTTTTTTTTTAAAAAAATTTGTTTTTTGGCATGACATCATATAATATGAAACAGGGGGAGTATATTGTTTGCATCCATTTATTACATATAGTAACCACCAAAGTTTCTCATTCGAGTTTTTTTTTGTGAATACAGGATATCAATCACGTTTAGGAAAATGGACGAGTCTAAGCGCCCGGTTTGGTTCACTCCAGAACCTGATTTGCAAGGGATTGAGCCACTTCCGTTGGACCTAAACCGCCGCTCTGATTCTGCAGCAAGGTCCTCAGGATCAAGCAACCACAATGTTACTAGCAGAAGAGGAGGATATGGAGGACGTAGAGGAGGAGGCAACAATTATGAGAAGAGAGGTTACTATACTCCCGAGAGAAGCAGTGAACAGTATGATTCTAGAGAATGGTCATCAAACCAGAGAAGAGGAAGGCCACATCCTAGTAGAACCTCCTAAGGTTTATTATTATATACTTCCATTTCCCAAGATTAATTTATTCCACATTACAAATGAATATGTACAACATAACGTCCTTTTTTATAGTCCATTCAAACATTTTTCCACATTCTTTTCCTTTTTGAATGTTTTTGATCGTATTTGTTAGATTCTGAAATTGTGTAATGTATATTACTGTTTATACATTACCGTTTTATTTTGGGGTTAAGTGTGAATTGGTTTGTGGTTTGTTTCTTTATAAACTTTATGTTCCTTGATGTGACTAAAGAATTTCATTCTGCTGCGTGATAATCGATATTTGATTTGACCAGTAATCATTGTTTATCGAAAATATTTATTCTTTTGTGAGTATCGTTTCATTTCCGATTTAACTAACAGATTCATAAAAGCAGTTTAATCGTTGAGAAATCGTATATCTTAAAAAAAAAACAATATTAGTATTATAACTATTCAATTATATTTTAACTGTTTAAACTAGTTAAAAATTTAGGATTTTTGTAACAACTTCAATTACTCAAATGAGAATTGTTTGTTTTTCTCTGATAAAATGCTTTTCAAATGAGAATTGTTATTCATAAAAAAAGATAATGAACAAAAGGTTTCCTTTTTTATTATGTTTCTTTCTGTTTTTCAAATGTGAAAACTTCTTATAGAATTTAAATTAGAAATATGTTTTATTTACTGAATTTGACAATACGAAAAGTTCTCTACTCGTAATATTCCGTATAATAATAATATATCGGTGATAAGATTATATAACAACAAAAGATCAAATATGCTGACGAAAAAACCAAGGGAAATTAATAGAAACTAGATTTTGACCCGCGCTTAAAAATGCGGAAATTTTTTATGATTAAAAATTTATATAATTAGGTTTTTTTAATTTAAAGAATATTTTGATATAAAATTAGTTCACCAAAATTTGTGATGATGATTATTTTTCATTAGTTTTTAGTTTCAGTTTTTATTTTTAAATTTTGGTTTTTGGTTTTTAGTTTTTAAGCTTCTACTTTTCATTTTCAGTTTTTGGTTTGGGTTTTTGATTTTTAAACCCGCTGAGTTAGTTTGAACTAATATTACCAATAAACAAATTTCAAATAATCGAACATCTAATTTAAAACTGAAAAGATGATAACAATTTTTTTAAAAAAAATTTTAAATAGTTTATTTTGTAAATAAACAAAGCAAAAAATATAACATGTGTTTTCAACTTTTGGTTTTGGATTTTTGTTTTTAGATTTGGTTTTTGGTTTTGCTTTACATTTTTTTAATCAGTAAATTATTTAATAAAAATAAAACAATAAATTATTTAAAAGTTACCATTGAAATTTATCAAAACAAAGTGATTGTTATTTAAAATAAAAAAAATATATTAACATTTTTTAAAGTACATGATTTAAATAAATGATTAATAATAGATAATTTTATTTTGTTAAAAATATTAAATACCTTTTGGGTCTGAAAATAATAATTGATCTTTTAAGGTGAAAAGTTTATTCAATGTTTTTGGAGTTTTTTCTTAATACTAAGTCAAAAAACCAAACTATATAATTTGTTCAAAAAATAAAAGTAAACCCAAGACTATATTTCATTAATAAACACTGGTTTGATTTAAGTATAATTAGTAGATTTCCATATTCCATATTTTGATGATATATATTCTTTTAGAACATTCCATATTTATAGGAGAAAATATGTGTTTTTGGTATCATCGCTCTGTTGAGGTTTCCACGGTGGTCGTATAACAGCAATGGCTTCTTCTTTTCCCGGATCGGTTAATAAGCCAGAGGAAGAGTGGCGTGCTATTCTCTCCCAAGAAATTCAGGATCCTCAGGTAGAAAGACACTGAGTAAGAGTAGATATTGATGTCATTGTGGTTTGATTCATTATCTCTCGTGAACATTTCGTTTAGTATGCCTTTGTGGAATAAACATGTTTCGTGATTAACATTCAGGAGACCCATTACTGAAAGATCAAAACTTTCAATACAAATTCAAAGTTCTCACCTTTTTTCTAAAACTCTGTTTCTGATGTCTCAGGTCAAGTTTCTATGTGAGAGATGTACTCATTTGTTATAGAAGCATACATTGAATGGCTTTGTCTTTCTTGGTTCTCCAACATTACTGTAATAAGCTAAAGAACTTATACTAGAACTTATCTGAAACTACTTTCAGATTGCGGACGAGCTTGTTGCTGAATTTGCACTCCCCAATAACGATGGATCATCCCCAGGCCAGGTTCGACAGTTTATAAATTTTGATCATGTGCTATACAACAATGGTTCTTTCTTTAAACTATGATAGAATTACATAATCTAAATCCTTTTTTTTTTAAAACAGCACTAGTTATGATGAGAAGAACAAAAGATCTTCTACATGATCCATTCCTATTACCTAGTTCAAAGGTGATAGAGGGCATAGGTACAATGCTGGTAAGATCTCAAGACACGTCTTTTCATTTCTTTATATGCTTGAACTGATATTAGTAAAAACGAGACCTATCTTGAAAGTAATAAGTCACTTTGACATGGATGAGACAGTAACCATAATATTCTCTTAGCAACAAAAGAATACTCCAATGTTGTCTATTTTTCTAGTGCCAGAAATCGTAAGCAAGACATTAAAGTTTGATGGTAGTGTTGGATGGAAATGATAGGTGATGTCTTGCATTATTACATTGTTTTATCTCTTCATTTGCATTCCTTTTCATCATGTAGAATAGGTTTTAGC